TAAAGATTCTACTTCACCTGAGTATAAATATCTCGTCTATATATTCCAAGTATAGTTACCACACCTTGTACGCTTGTAAAGAGCTACCAATCCACTCCTTCAGGGCCGTATAGCTCAGATCGTAGCTATCCGACTTGATCTCGTTCCCGTTAAACATCATCACATGGCCGGCCACATCTGCATTACTATTAACCATATCACTAAACGTTGCACTTTCAAGACTTGCTGCTGCTTTGGCCTCAGCCTTGAGAGCGGCTACACTTTGCAAGTAGCCCATTTTCCTACAATAGGACATGACAATATGATCCAGTTCCACGTCTTTGTAGCCGGCGTTTAACGTAGCTTCGCCCGATGGCGCGGTGGTTTTCTTCGACATGTTGTGTGCTTTCAACCTGTACGTTGTACTAATTAAAATTAAACGTACGTATGTCTATGATGCTTTTGTGTACCTATATGCGATAGAACAAGTATGATCGCTGAACCTACATAAGTATATTCAGAATCAGAGACATATATACATATAAAATGGGTTGCGGGTGTATATTATAGTGAAATGGGCGGCATTTTATACCGAGTGGGTTCCGATTTGATGTTTTGCCATAGATCTTTGAAGTCCTTGGCACCCCAACAAAAACACAGCTGCTTCCGAACAAGTTCCTATATGCTTCTTGCATCAATAATATATATAAATATAAATAATTTTATGTATATGTGTATATTAACCTATGCGAACCTATATCATACTGGTATGGTAGCTAGCAAGACGTGATATAATAAGCAGGTCTTCACATAACCCAAGGATACTCTACTAGAATAATTGTGCATCATTAGATAGTAACCATGGCGTCCGTTATCAAAGGGTTGCTAAATGAGCACCTAGGAGATCTTATGCGCATGAATAAACGCAATCAACTAGGCCAATTGCTCAACTTCTTCATGGTTATCGGCTCTGCGCTGATGCTTTGGAAAGGTCTAATATTATATACAGGCAGCGAGAGTCCCATTGTTGTAGTTCTAAGGTATGCACATGGGGTTCAGAGGATTGTTGAGCTATTATACATCTTAAGATGTGTGATTCTGTAGTTCATGTACTGAAATATCGAATATAACATACACACGAGTACGTACTTGATTCATCAATCTTAGTAGTAGCCATGTTCATATATAAATGTATTTATATGTAAGTACCATATGTTTGTCTATAGCTATACATATGCACAAACAATTTGACAATTATGATCTAAATCTATATATATATATATATATATATATATATATATAACATACATATATATATA